CCCTGACCTCAGGGAGAGCACAGCCTAGCACTGCCTGGAAGAGTGTGGGGAGGGCAGGGCGAGGCTCCCGTGCCAACGAAGCTGGGAAGGAGGAGCCAGGGTGAGGAGACCAACGGGAACTCCCAGCATCACAGGATTCTCCGGCTGCAGGGAAGGAGTGAGAGAGGAGAGGCTGCGAGCAGCCAGCCCCCTGGAATTGGGTCCTACCTCTCTGGGCTCCCCCACCACAGCTGTCACGGTCATGCCAGCCCACGCTCTCCTCAGAGCCACGGAACCACAAGGGGCTCCCCTGGAGAGCATCAGCCACCCCTGGTCCCTCGGAGCTGCCCCAACATGGCCTGCTGTTCTCAGCCACATCCCTCCCCCGATGGCAGGGACTAGGACCTCTCATGCTGGGGGCTCCTCAGGGTACTGCCTGTCTCCCCCTTCCTGCTCCTGTCTCCAGAGGCTGGGGGTGTGCTGTCCCCTTCACTCATACTTTCCTCACCTTCTGTTCCTCTCCTTCCTCCCTCACGCTATTCACCCCTCTTGGCCCACCCCAGCTCCCCCTCTCCAAGGGCCCTCCAAGTACTGGAGTGAGCAGACTGAAGAGGGAGCAGCAGGTCCAGTCAGGTCCCAGCCAGTGTCCCCCTCCCACCTGCCCACACCCCTGCAGGGCTTCTAACCCAGCTGCCAGTCTACTCTCCCAGCCCCTCCCAAACCAGGCTGGCCCTCAAACCCAAACCAGGCCAAGGCCATGGCGCTGGGACAGCTGACCTCCCCCTCAGCTCAACCTTACCTTGAAAGCCCTGTCTCTTCAGGCTCTCGTCCACAAGAGGGTCCCCGGAATCCCTCTCTGGGGGTGGGGGGAGAGAAGCCAGGGTGAGGAACAGCTCCTGGGACCCAAGGTGGCATCGATGGGGCAAACCCAGTGGGTGGGAGGAGTGTCAGGGGAGGTCATGGCTAGGACAGGGGAGCAGGAAGAGGTGGTGGCAGAGGCCTGGGCCTTCCCACGCCTGCCCACTGCCCACGACCCAGCGCTGGGTACCTTGGCTGTCCACAATGGGCTCCTTGACTCCCTCGGTGAGCAGCTCGGGCCTGGAAAACACCACAGCAGGGCTATCACTGAGGTCCCTCCAAGCAGCCCTGGAACTGCCCAGTCCTCCCTCAGGGCCTGTCCTCCCTCTGGGGGGCTGTGATGGGTTCTGAGGACCCAGCCGGGACAAAGCCAGCTGCCTCCCGGGCTGGTTCCGGGACAGGACGTGGTGTGAGGGTCAGAGGGCCCGTTTTTTAAAGGGCAGAAGCAGTCCTGTGTTACTGCCTGCCGCCACCTGGCCCCGTGAGCTTCCAAGACCCTTCACGTAAGGTGGCCTTCACAGTGCTCATGAGCAGACACTGTTCATGCAGACAAACCCCAGGAGGGCAGCCCGTGAGGACTGGCCGCCAACCTGAGCACCCAGACGCTCTGGTTCTTGGGCTGAGGGTGGGTGTGGTCAGCAACCCCTGCTGGCCATCCCTCCTGAGCACGGGCAGCTCCTGCTTCCTATTCCCACCCCAGCCCTCCCCGAGCATCGAGTGTGAGAGTTCCTGCTATCCACTAGCCAGCGCCAATCAGGTCCTTCTCCTCCCACACCCCACATCGAGCACCAGAAATTCTGCTGGCCCAATCTTCAAAGCAAAGCCTGGGTGTGACCACTTCTCCCATCCCACCCCATCTCGACCAGGTCTGAGCTGAACTCTGGTCAAGACTAAAGCCAGATTCCATCCCCACCCACATGTCCCAGTTCACCATCCACCTTGTGCTGGCGCGACTGAAATAAACACACACACAGACCACATGGTGTCACACCATCCTCTAAACCTTCCAGCGAGTTCTCGTGAAACCCGAGCTCTTTCAGGGCCCTGCTATCCCTTGGCCCTCGCTCAGTCTGCTGCAGCCACACCTACGCCTTGCCAGCCTTCGGCCACACAGCGAGCTCCTCCCTGGGACCTGCTGCTCCCCTGTCTGCACGCTCCTTGGCTGGCAATCCCCACGGCTCACTCATGCTTGGTTACGTCTCTGTGCCGTGACCCCCTCAGGCAGGCTCCTTCGGCCCCGCTTGTCCTAGCCCCAGCCTGTTCCTCTATGTGACAGTACACTGGGATTTGATTCAAGGCAGTGGGCACCTCCAGGGCACTTTCTGCTATATGCAGCCCAGCACACGGGGGCGCTCAGGAGGTATCTGTTGAAAAAAGAATGGTGACTCTGATGCCAGTCCTGTGGGAGGCCCAGGTTCAGACCCCAGGCTGGCCTGAGCACACTGGGCACATCTAAGTGTGTTCATGATCCTGGCTGGCTGGGAGGCTGGGGCGGACCAGGGCGTGAAGACCAATTAGGGGTGTCTAATGGCCATCCTCATGGAAGAAATAAACTAAAAAAAAAGGAACCACGTGTGTGCTAGTTGTGTCTCTGGAAGAACCACCCTCCTGGTGTGGACAGCCCTGGAGAAAAGCTCCCTGCCCTGCACCGTGGCACCAGTCTGCCCCTGGGTGTGAAAGCTACTGCAAGTCTCCAGTTTGGGGGGCATTTACCCTTATTGGGGGAACAAAGCCTTAAGTGTCCTCTCTTTCTTATCCATTTCAACCAAACCAGGCCTAAATTTATGACGTTACAGTCGTCCACAGAAACAACAAACACAAAGAGCTGGCCACCCAGCTCACTCCATAACTGCCACGGCCTCCTCGGGAGGGACTTCCAACCCACGGGGGCATAGACGCTAGATACGCTGGCATTGTACAGCCCTCACTGACAAAAATGAGATGCCCGGGACACAGAAGGGACCTGGAAAAGCCCTCACTGGACACCAATGCTGGGGTACTGGGGCATGGCTCAGAGGACATCCCGATGCCACTGGCCCAGGACACCACACACCTCCCCAGCAACCACGCGAGCAGCATGCACACACCATTCTACATCCGGCAAGCTGGGCACTACCCTGAGACTATGAGGGAGTTAGCTGGTTGCTTTGGGTCTGGCAGGCCCTGCTGGGCTCAAGGAAGCTGTGCCCACCTGTGGCCAAACCCCACTGATACAAAAATAAAATCTTCCAACCGCAAGAGAAGCAGCAGTGTGACACGGCTCCTGGGTGGCACGTGTGCCGGGAGGTGTCCCCTCAACCTGTCAGGCCTTACCTCTTGATGACAAACTGGATGCTGTTGCTGGCCTCCAGGATCTTCCGGAGCTTGGCAATCCCGAAGCAGTTGGGCCTGCGGAGGGAGATGCCTTCAGGCAGCCCCACCACAAACAGCTCCTCTGGGTGCATCAGGAACTTGGAGTAGGGCACCTTGACCGGTTCCGAGATGCCAATGGCCTTGGCTGCGGAGACATGGCTGCTGTAGGGCCACCCACAGTCAGGGGGCCACAAGCCTCGCTCCTGTCCCCCAGGCCTGTGTGCAGGGGTGGGGGTGGGGGCTGCTGCTGCCAGCACCTTTTAGCCAGTCCTTGGCTGAATCCCAGCCTTCCTGAGGGCTGGGAAGCATCACCAGTCTGCAGGCGAGGGTCCTGCGGCTCCGAGGGGATGTGCTCTGTCTGAGGTCATGAGCCACGGAGCAGACCCACACCTGCCCATGCTCTCATGTCCAAGCTGTGAGGAAGCCGCTGACGGCTGCTGAGATTTGACGGTGGCTCCCCACAAATCCACATGTCTCTGTGTTTCCTGCAATGCCCAGAGGGTCCCTCCTGCCACTATAAATAACCCCGAAGGGCCAACACTGTGCCTTGAGAACAGGCCAGATCTAAGGCCTCGGCTGGGCGCTGCCACTCAGTAGTGAGGGCCTCGGACAGGACACATCACTTCACCAGGCCTCCTGCTTCTTCCTCTGGAGTGTGTCTAGGACACAGGTCTGTGAGGGTGGGATGAGGGAAAGGGTGTGAAGCCCCAGCACAGGGCTTGGCAAACCACAGGGGCCTGAAACCTGAAAGAGAGCAGCCTCCTTCCCTATTTCCCCACTAACCCCTCCCAACCCCTCGCTTCCTGGGCTCTAGAACAAGAATGTTCTAGAGCTCGGATCCTTTGAGGACCTGGATGAGGGGCCCACCCATGAGAAGAGATGCCAGCGTTACTACAGAGGAGAGAATGACTTCTCCAGCCTGCAGCAGAGGCAGACTGTGAGTGAGTGTGAGCGAGCTGCCACAGGCCAGGATGCGGCGTCTCTGAGGGTGGGCAGCTCTGGTAGTGCTTTTCCCCAGCGTAGGCCTGGAGCTGGGGATGTGGCTGGGCCATGGCCCCTAGTGCTCCCAGCCTCTCCCTTTTTTCCTTCTCCTGTCCCTGTGCAGGAAGCAGCTGGTTTTGGAGTGTGTGGGTGTGTACCAAAGACCCTGTGCAAATAGGCAGCCGGAGGCAGGGCCAGGGTGGCCGAGGCTCTATCCCGCTCCTCGCTCACCATATCGCGTGTTGAAGAGCAGCTCCACCTGCTTCCGCAGGGGCCGGATCACGTCACCGTGGCTGTCTGGAAGGTAAAAGGTAGTCTGTTACACTAGCAGTCCCAGGGGTAGCATCCACTTCTCAGCTCACAGCCCAGCTTTGCTATCACAGAGAATGGCTCTGTGGTGGGCCTTGGGTGGAGAAGGCTGAGATGGGGGGAACCTAGCTCCTCAGAAATAGTAGCTCTGGACAGGCTCACCATTCCTAGGCTAACACACCCGCCTTAGAAATCAAGTCTGGGGCACCACCAGCCTGAGTGGATATTTGGAAGGTTTTGTGGCCTAGGAATGGGCCTTTCTTTCTAGGTAAGCCTCACTCTAGACCAGCTCAGTAAATGACTTAAATTGTGGGTGCATACTAAGCCTGCAAATTGAGGATGCTGCCACCAGGTGGCAGTAGACTTCTGTTAATAAGTTGTTTTCCTCTGCCACCCTGGGCTTGAGGAAATAATGACACCCACTCATTCCACTCCAGGTCAGATACTCCAGAGATGAAGCCCCTGCCCCCACCTGGGTCTCCCTGTGGCCCTACTCCCATTCTTGGCACGGAGGGCATGAAAATTCCTAAGAACGAGCATGCCTGTAGGACACAAAGCTAATTCTACACTTTCAGGCCTAAACTGCTTGCCTTGTGATTTTCCTTACCAGAGGGAGGAGCTGCCTCTGCCCAAGTACCTCCTAGTTCTAGAAGAGGCAACCTGCAGGCCTCCTGCCCACAAACTGGGATGTTGGGTAGAGATGGAGTGGAGACAAAGGGAGGATGAGGGGCAGGAGAAGGAAGGAGAGATGCTGGGACTGAAATGGGAGGTGGTCCGGGCCTTACCCTCCACAGGCCTCTCCTCTGGCCGAGGGTCCTCGCTGGAGCCTTTGTCTAAAAGAAAACAGAGGATACTGGGGTACCATGTGTGTCATCTGGACCCTACACTGAAGTTGGGCCAGACGGAATGGCTGGCTGGTGGGCCCCAACTCTGGAGCACAGCACAGCACCCCCAAAGTGGGACCAGGGACTCTGATTTTTGTGCAGGTGGAGACCTTGGTATGCACCCTGAGGCTAGCCCAAACAGGGCCTCCTAGGCACCAAGGACACACAGGAACCAGACCAAGCCCTGTCCTTCCAGTACGACAGGTGTGACATGTGATGCCAGATGGTGGTGATGCCGTGCAAGATAGAGCTGGGCAGACACAGGGCGAGAGGCAGGTGTGGTATGGCGCTAGATTACATGGGCCTGGGCCCTGGCCTGGACTTGCAGCCAACACACCCTACCACGTCCCTGCATGCTATCGGCAGGCAGTGAGGTGCAGAGCAGTGCGCATGGGGTGAGGGACCCTGCTGGCCCTGGGGGAAAAAGAGGGGAAGGCTTCCTGCAGGAAGGGGGGCACCTGGGCTAGGTCCCAGCCTCTCCAAAGGGGACAGAGGCAGGGAGGGAGAAGCACGAGTGTGTGGAGGGAGCAAGCTCAGCAGATGGTGGAGGGACCTTGCTTAGCAGTGGCCCTTCTATACCAGGGACGAAGGCACAAACGAGGTGCCTTCCACACCTGGAGCGACGGGACTGGCAGTGCCTGAGGAAGCGCTATGAGCTGTGAGCTGCTTTCACGGGCAGGACCATCCCCACGGGCTCTGTACCAGCCCAGGACATGTGGCTGAGCTGTGGGTGATGCAGCATGCAGACCCCAGGTCTGACGACTTGGGGTGATCAACACAGAGCCCCTGCCGGGATCCTACACTGGAATGAAGGGAGGGGCTGGTCCTGGGATAGTGGTCAGCGGGGAAGGTGAGCTGTGCGTGGGGCTCGGCCTGGGATGAGCTGGACGGTGTTGGAGGGACGGCTCTGCTCAGTCACCGGCAGAAGAGGGACGGCAGCCCTCACTTTAGGCCTCTGCCTTTGTCAGGGGAATGGGCACGCTGCAGGACACTGCATCCATCTGGGCCTCCCTGCAGGCTATTCTGGCTGCAGGAGTGAGCTGGCCAGCCCTGAGCCTCCAGCAGCAGCACTCTGCAGACAGCCGGCAACCAGGGACTGGTGGGCCGGTCAACACCCCCCTGCCTTCTTGCTCAGCTGCCTTCCCCAGACGCTGTGACCTGCACAGTCTGGAGGCTCGGTGCCTGATGACAGCCCTGGGTGGTCCCAGACCCATTTCCAGGCCCCTGCTGTGTTCTCTGGAGTCTCCCAAATAACCAGGTCCACTCAAAGTCATGCCTTAGGGTCAGCCTCTGTGGGATCCCAGATGAATAAACCCATTTTGCCATTTCTACACAGAGGCAGAGGAGAGTGAGTTCTTGTGACAGAAGGGACAAGGTGGACAACAGGAGGGTCTGCCTGAGGGACACGTGACCAGGAGCCACAGGAAGCTGTATCTGTCAGGTGGTGGGGGAAGCTGCCCACATGGCGTATCTGGAGGACGGATGCATGTTCACAAGGTGGTCTGTGATGGACCAGCGAGGGGACAGCTGCCCAGGCGGACTGTCCCTACTGTGAGCTGTCCACGTGTAGTGGACTCCCTAGGCAGTAGCCACAATCCAGGGAGAGCCAGCAGGAGATGATGTGGACCTGTCTCCTGGGCCCCACTCACTGTCTGCAGGCCCAAGGAGAGCTTCTGGCCAGTGTGGCTGTCAGGCTCCAGGAACAGAAGGAAGCTGGCCACGCCCACCCTGGGGATCACTGCCAAACCAGGAGACGACCCGTATGCTTGGGGACCCAGATTCCAAACATGGGGAACCGGCTTGGCTCCATCCAGATTTGGACTTTTTTTTTTTTTTTTTTTTTTGCTATGCTAGAGAAGGCCCATGCATGCATGAAGCAGGGGACCACACAGTGGGGGAGAAGTACCCTCACCACGATCCCGTCGCCAGTCCTGCAGCTCCTCAGGATTTGGGGTGTCCACGAACACACAGTGTGCTTTCAGGACGACCCAAGGATCCAAACCCACGGTTGCCATGTCTTCCAGCCTTGCAGGGCCTCTGTGTTGCCAAGAGCACTAGGCTATTTACCCTGAGCGAACCCATCCACATGCTCCTGGCTTGGCTAGTTTCAACAGGGAGCAGCTGGAAATAATCCTAATAAATAACCGACGACACACTGATGAACACCACACCACTCTGGGCTGACGGCCGGCTGAGGAAGGCGGTGGTAACAAAGTCGTCTGTGTGCAGGAGAAAACGTCCCAAGGACGGATACTACGCTGACGGCTGACTAGGGGGCAACGGGAGCTTTTCCCTCCATGTGTTACACGTGAGGCATCTTCAGAAAGTTCATGAGAAATGTGCATTAAACACTACGCATCAGGACCAGCAGATGGCATAGTGGTTATGTCACTGGACTCCCACACGGCCCACAGCAGTTCAAGTCCTGGACTTAGTGGCTTGAGACTCACATGGACACATGTGTGTGTGTGCAAGCCCAAGATCCCGAGAGGAGAATGGAGGAGAAGGGATTGCGGTGTGGCCACCCCCCTGGGGGATGGTTTCTTATTTTCTGTCTCTTTCTCTGGCAAGAGCATGCACCCTAAGGCAAAAACCTCTTAAAAAAAAACAAAAACAAAAACAAAAAACCACTATTTATGGATAAGACTTTTTGTACCAAAATAAACTGGTGTTTTCGCTGCATTTCCCACAACTTACTGCAGTCCTCATACTTCTGTATCATTTACCTGCTTTACCGTGTATGCGTAACAGAAAATCCACAACCCGCTCAGCCACGAAGGTACTGAAGATCTCGGAATTTTCACAACTCATCAGTTTTTAGTAGGGTGCCTTAGTAGCCCAGAAAACGGGGAGTCAGCAAACCTGGGTTGCAGCCCAAGGCTGTGTGACCTTGGGGAGGTGGCCCAGCCTGGCTGAGACCGTTTCTTGTTCTGTCAAACCAAGGGGGAGAAACCCTTCCAACAGAAATGGCCCAGCGCTTGTCTGTGGGCCCGGAGTCCCCGGGGCACAGTTCACTGCAGCCTGTCATCAAGTCCAGGTGTCTGCCTGGACAACTCACATACATACACACAGATATTTGAATTCTTGCCACAGGGTGTGTGCCCTTGCTGGAGAGAAAGAGAGGGAAAGTGATAAATCACCCCCCCCAGGGGGGCGGCCACGCCACAATCCCTTAGCCATTCTTTTCTTGGGGTTCTGAGCATGCATGCACACACATGCGTACATGCACACACACACAAACACACCCCTGTGCTGGCACGTTTTTCAAGCCACTGGGTCTGGGACTTGAACTGTGGAATTGGCCATGTAGGATCCAGCCCCTTAACCACCAGGCCAGGCCACCTGCTGGCCTGACAAGCCATATTTTACCTTCATTACCAAAGCATTAAATGTGTGTCACAACTGATTTAGGGAATGAAAATAATCAGTCACTTTACCCAACACAGTTATTATTTTGGGTTATCCTTGCTTTTTTCCCAGTGGTGATATTTTCAATACAGCTGTCACCACAGCACAATCAATGCTTCATCCTCTGCCTGATGCTGCATGGTAAGTCCTGTCCTTGTTCCCTATTTTTGGTGGCTGTGTGCGAGTCCTCAAGGAGGGTACCGGGAATGGGCCTCAACAGCTGGCAGACTGTTGTCACTGACACCTCTAACACCTTTGGGCAGAGAGCATCCATATTTCAGGTTATTTCCTAGGACTGGATTTCTGCCACCCTCAGGGGGTGCTCCTTTTATGGTTCTTTAATTGAGCTAACAAATTTCCTTAAAAAGTAATTTGCCAATTTGCATTTTTTTTTTTTGAGAGGTTTTTGCTATAGGGTGCATGCGCTCGCCAGAAAGACAGAAGAGAGACAGAGAGACAGAAAGCGAGAAATCACCCCCTGGGGGGATGGCCACACCACAATCCCTTCTCCATTCTCCTCTGGGGATCTTGGGCACGCATGCACAAACGCCTGGCATGAATTTAAGCCACCGGGTCCGGGACTCAACCACGGTCGACTATATGGGAGTCCAGCGACATAGCCATTACTCTAACTGCTGGTCTCTGCCAATCTGCATTCTTACCAGCACCATATAAAACCCCATCTCCCGGGCTAGCCAGTGGTATAGTGGTTGAGGTTGGTTGGATCCCACATGGCTGAGATCCCATAGCTGGGAGTCTCAGATCCAGCAGCTTGAGAAACACAATGGGTGCGTGTGTGCATCCCCAAAATCTTAAAAGGAGGGAAAAATGGAGAAGGGACTGCAGTGTGACCATATCCTATGGGGCATGCTTTCTCATCCCCACCCCACCCCACCCGCCCGCCTTTCTCTGGTAAGCACAACACATCCTGTAGTAGATTAAAAAAATAAATCAATAAAAAGAACCTGTTTCCTAATCCATTCAGCTAAAGTTCGGTGGAATTGAACGGTATAAAACAGGTGGTCCTCCGCTTAGACCCCGTTTCTCGCTGCTGTGTGTGGCCGTGTTTACCGCTGCCTTTTTTGCTGACCGGTCACCACTGCACGTGATGGTGGACACTGGGATGCACCACCCAGATCCCTGTTCAGGGAAGAACCCAGAGGTCAGCAGCAGCTGGCAGTGCTCAAGGATGGCCTCAGCTGCAGACTCAGCCCAGCCAAGGTCACACCTCTCTGGTGGCCCACATCCTCCAGTAATTCCAGCAGGGTAGAAAGCCTGGACACCCGAGTTCAACTCAGAACAATGCTAAGGATCCACTCTGGCTCCAGGGCGCCCGGTGGGGTTGGTGGAGGCTATCGCTGGGGCGCCTCACAGCTTCTCCCACTGCCCCCTCCTTGACATGGGTGCTCATCTCCAGGACAGCCTCTAACGAGCATCTCACACACTAAACACCACCTGAGTCTGTTTCCAGGGACGAGAACCCTGACGCATGTCCCGGGGCAATGACGTCTCCTCATGGGAGCCCAGTGTTCTAGGCTGTCAAGCCCACAGAGAACATTGTCCTTGAGTTAACTGCTCATTCCTTCCGAGGCATCTGCAAAATGTGTGCTCTTGCTGCTGTAAGCAGCTTTATCCAACTACCTGATCAATATTCGAGAAGGGGGGGGAGCTGGCGGCATGTTAAGGTGGCTGGTCTCACATAGCTGACTACACGGTCTGAGTCCCGGACCCGGTGGCTGGAAAAATATGCTGAGTACATGTGCATACCCAAAATCCCAAGAGGAGAATGGAAGAGAAGGGACTGTGGTGTAGCCATCCCCCCTGGGCGTACTTTCACCCTTTCTCTCTCTGTCTCTTCCTCTGTCTCTGCCAAATGCATTCACTGCCGGGCAAATTACAAAGTAAATATATATATGTATATATTACACACACACATGTATCTGAGGAAGGACCCAGTCCTGCAGGATACTGCAGGACCCTCTCCCAAGGGGAGGCAGAGATCTGCTGGCAGCCCTGGCTTCTCCATCTGCTGTCTGGAGTCAGATCACTCCCACTAAATGGCCCCACAACAGGTCTCTTTTAGCTCCTTCTCAAAATCTGTGCCAGAACAGTGCCCGACACCAGCAGGCTTTGTACCACTTGGTACACAGGTGGTCTGTAAGTACAGTACACCCGCCATATCATAGGTTCCCCATCCGCAGATTAGACCAACCACAAATGGAAACATTCAGGGAAAAAGTCAGTCGTCTGAGCATCCACACTTCCCCCGTCACTACTGCCTGAACGACACGGTCTAATAACCACGTAGCGTGCACGCGGCAGTTGGAATCACAGGACGTCTAGAGATGACTTAGTCTACGGGAGGGTGTGTACAGGTTCTGTGTAGATGTGACGCCATTTTCCGTAAAAGACTTGCGTTGTGGTATCCACCGAAGGTCCTGGACCAGCCCCCTGTGGATGCTGGGGGGTGACCGAAGCTGTTCAGTGAATGAACACATGAACCCACAGAGGGCTCCTGGGGACGAAGCTGCTCCTATCACACATCAAGGCTACTGCAAGTTTCCCGACAGGAACCTGCCTGGGGCAGGAGAACGTACCTTGGGTTTTCTTCTACCAGAAGCATCGACACTAAGAAAGGTCTGGGGCCTCCTGGCACACGCCCCCCTTAGTTCCCCAGAGAGCTGGGTCCCCAGCACCGCCAGCCCTGACCCACTGCTTACCAGTCAGCATCTCCATCCCATAACCAGAATCTTCCGAGGGCAAGTGCCCAGGCATCGAGTCTGTCATTTCCTCAGAGGTTGGCGAGGGGTCTAGAGACAAAACTCCAAATGATAAGGACATCTTCAGCCTGTCCCGTCTCCGGCCTGGTCGCGGTCCCTCAGAGACACCCAGCCCCGCATGCCCACCAGCCAGGACACTTAAAGGGAGCCTCGCTCTGGGACTCTGGATGATCCTACAAGAGGCCAGGCAGGGTCCAGAGGCCTGTGGGCTCCCAGTGGTTGCCCCCCATCCCAAGCCCCCAGGGGTCAAGTACCCTTTCTTTATAGATGTGAGAGGGGAGGCTGGGGGTTCTGAGTCTGGAGACAAACTCAAGTCCTCTCATCCGCCAGCCTCACAAATCCCAGGGAACATTGGGAGAACCTTTAGGAAGGTCAAAGCTGAGAGCATGGAGTCCCAGCAGAGGCCAGGTGGGGCTGGATGAGGCATATCCAACACTCCTCTTTCAGAACCAGCCGAATTGCCCTGAGGCCTGTTCTTGGCCACGGCAGCTCCCGGGAGGCCGAGCAGGACGGCGTAGTTTTGGGAGGCACCTAGGTTCCAGTGGCCTTCAGGCCTCGGCTCCTTACCTGGGACAGTGACCTGAATGATATCCAGATCCTCGGGCTCAATTTTGATCGGCCTCAGCCCACCCAGGTCCCCGGAGGTTCCTGCCAGGAGGAAATGAGGGGTCTGGTCAGGTCTGGGCATGACCTTGGCTGGGCAGGGTGGGCCATTCCAGAACATTCCCATGTCTGATTTGTCAGTGAGCCCCTAGTAAAAGTCAGACCCTGGCTCCTGTCAGACCAAGAATGGAGGGTCAGGCCTGGCCAGGTGATTTTTAGACCTGGCAGCCGAGGCTCACAGAGGGGTGTGGCTGCTTGTCCTTGGACACAGCGGGAGGCAGGGTGATGCCAGGACCCAGGTTTCATCTCCTCACCGGCCTTAGCTCCCATGAGCTCCCAGCGTGCCCTGTACCTGTGGCCTGGGGTGAGGAGGGGAGAACAGAGGAGACCCGGGGCCTGTCCCCACCCCTGGCCCAGGACACACCAGTGGGCCCTGCTCCTTCTCACCTGGTCCGCAGTCTTCGGAGATGCTGCCCTTGTCTGACCTGCGAAAGGAAGCTGCTGAGTGGCATAGCATCAGCCCTGCCAACAGCCACCCTGCCCAGCAAGGCTGCCCTGCGGAACACACCCCTGACCACATCCCCCGGGGGCCGCCACACGTGCTCCCATCGGCCAGAGATTCCCAGGGCCCTGTGTCTGAGGACCACAGTTTCCCAGGCTGCCCCAGCCAAGCTCCTGCTCACTACCTTGGGGACCTCTGGGCACCCAGCTGTCCCACCAGCTGTGAGCTCCTGAGGCCAAGGCCTAGGTCTGGCCAGTCTGGGAGCCCCCCGAGAGCTATGGGACTGCCAGTCCAGAAATGGGTTAGAGAGGAGCTGGGCACATCCCGGGGTCTGATGATGTGTTAATTCCCTCCCTCCCAGAGCCCATCGTGGGGAGGCCTGGGCTGGGTATGGGGATGCTGGGGTGAAGGGCCCATCGCAGGCTCCTGGGGCTCAGAGCCATGGTGGCCAGGTATGTGCCGAATGCAGAACCCCATGGGCCAGCAGCTGACCTAGCCTGGGACCCAGGGGAGGCCGAGACAATGCCATTCTCTGGGTAGTTGTAAAGAGGCAGAGTCTCTCTGTTCCCCTCTGCCCTCCCTTTGGATTCTCCTTGGCCAGCAGTGGGGGCCAGCCAATGCTGGCCAAGGAGACACACATACACAGCATGTGTATCTGCAAGGGGTATCGAGGGGTAGGGCCCTAGGCCTCACCCCTCCCCAGCCCTGAGTAGGGGTGGCACGGGCTGAGAGCTGGGGTGGGGCCTTACCGAGCAGTTCCTGCCAGGTCGAGGATTGTGGCCCGAGAGATCTCTGTAGAGCTGTCCTCTGGCGGGCTGGCTGGCTCCAGCTTCGTGGGGTCTTTGGTAAATTTATTCCCTGGGGGGAGAGTCATGGAGGTCAGCATGGAGGCTCCATGACCTCCGCTTTCCTGTGGGGTACCTGGGCAGGGACCTGTGTGAAGCTTATGGGGCACCCTGGGGGCAGGGTCTAGCCTCTGCCCCTCCTTGTAGGCTCCATGTCCAGCCCACAGCCAGGAGTGGGTCCTGGGAGACCCATCGCCTGGAAGAAGGGTGCTGGGGCCAGGGGAGGCCAGCCATCCGGGAGGATAAGAGCAGAGGGAAGGAGATGGTTATGCCACCCTCAAACATGCTGCTAGGTGGCCAGACCCACAGCTTAACGGTTAAGGGAGCTGGATCCCACATGGCCAACCAGGGTTCGAATCCTAGCCCTGGTGGCTTGAAAAACACACTGGGTGTGTGTGCGTGCCCCAAATCTTAAGAGGATAGAGAAAAGGAGGGAAGGGACTACAGCGTGACCGTGGCCTAAGGAGGGTGTGCGTCCCCCTTCCTCTCCCTGTCTCTCTGGTAAGCATACATGCCTTCTGGCAATTAGAAAACAACAAAACAACTTGCTGCTGGGGCTGAAAGCGTCCTCAGGACAGGGGCGATACACGGACTAGACTCTCGTTTAATCATGCCAGGGACCCGGAGGAAGTCACTCTTATCCACATCACACATATGTGGAAACCTTGCCCAGGGTCACGAAGCCGGTGGGAGGCAGGCCAGAACTGAGACCCAGGTATGTCGCACCCCAAGATCCACACTGCCTTGCTGCCGCACGCAGAGCCTGCACTTCCTCCTGGGCAGTGTGCCACCATGGTCATGGCCTGGGCACTGGAGCACGATGACCTGTGCGTGAAGCAGGCCTCAGCGCCTCATCTGCACCCAAGGACTGGAACAGAACCGCCCTCATAGGACTGTTCAAAATGAAAATAAAATGTGCTCCTTGCTCAGGAGAGACCTGGCCGTGTCGGACTCAGCAGGCGTTAGCTGTCCCACAGCCTGTTGGCCTCTGCCAGCCACAGCCCGGACTCCCTCAGGGCCCCGGGAAGGACTCGAGGACAGGGCTCACTCAGGGCAGTGACAGCCGAGCACTGGTGCGCTGGGTCACTGGGAAGCTTGGATGGACTCGATGGTTCTCACGTACCTGTGAAAATCCGTTCATCAAACATCCTGGGGAGAGAGGAGAGGAGAGACACATGAGAACCTGGGCTGAGGGAGATGCCTCCAGGTCCCCTATCGGGGACCGTTACCAGGTGCCACCTGCCTGGCCCAGGTGCCAGGACGACCACACGTGGGGCAGGAGGGGGCATGGTCCAGACCAACAGACCATCTCAACCTGCTTCTCCACAGCCAGGCAGGGCATGGGTCAGCCCCTGGGGGGGCCAGTCTGTTTACCACAGCCCCGGGGGCCTGTCCCAGCCCCAAGCTCTCATGACCACAGGCAAGCAGCCCCTTCCCACCAGCGCCTGCTGGCGAAGGGCTCATTTGTTCATCCTGTGGGTTCTGACCCAGCGTCTCCTGGCTCAGGGACAGGCACGGGAAGAACCAGACCCGTCAACAGATCCAGTCCACAGGGTGACCCAGGGGACCCTTCACCTGTGTCAGAAGCCAAGGGGGCCCAAGCAGGCAAGGCTTCTCTTTGGGCAGGGGATGGGGAAGGACTTCTCAGAGGAGGGGTGGTGCCCCATGAAGATGGCTCAGAGGCCGTCCAGATGCGGGCACAGGAGGGGTGGGCAGGGCTGGCTGGGCCTCCGGGGCATTGCATGTGGCCTCCACCCTGTGGACAAGGAGCCCCTTCAAGTGGGATTATCGGGGATGACTCAGGTTATCAGGGAATGAGCTGGAGGAAGGAGGCTGGGGCCCAGGGGTTGTGGGGGACTCGTCACTCAGATTAGACAAGGACGAAAGGTCAGCTGGAGTGGCCTGTGGTCACACGCCTGCCCACCCTTAGGTAGGTGACTTCCTTTCCTACCCTCAGCCCCCATCAGGGTGGCACCCAGGGCACTGGGGCCCTCAGACAGCCGACGGGGAGGTGCTGCAGTGGAGCTGTGTGTCACAGAATGGCTGGACAAGGGGTCAGGGTCTTGGTCACTACACTCAGACTCCAGAAGCCACGCGAGGAGAACGAAGGGATGTCCCTGCCCGCATACTGACAAGGGCTCAGCAGG